ATGCATTAAAGGGATAGTTCACCCAGAAATGAAAATTCACTCATTATCGACTTACCACTACACCGATGGAGCAGCCAATTCCAATACAATTGAAGAAATTAGTCACCTATCTTCAGATCTTCAAAAACATAACATGCCTTCCTACTGCTCATGTGGTGTCAGCCATATTCAACTTTAAACTAGATAATTTACACCATTTCTGATGGACCTTTAGACTTAAAACATAGTGTAAATGACCTCGTTTCGAATTGAACATCAATGTTGGGACACTCGGATGACACCACACAAGCAATATGTAGGCATGTCATGTTTTTCTTCACTAATGGGGCAGGTCATTAATGTCTTCAATTGTATTGGATTTGGCTACAACCCATGAAACTCCAAAAGTGTTTTGTGGACTCAAACACTTCACCCACCCCTCCATTGGCATAGGGGTGAGTAGATACTGAGAGAATTGACCTTTTTGGGTGAACTATCCCTTTAGCTGCACCACAGCTGTCACTAATTTTAACATTTTTGAATATTCTAACACAAATTCCACCTTTGTTTCCTGTCGTCCTTGTCTCTATGTCTATGTGTGTCTTATTTGTCTCCCTTGTATATCCCTGTCATTGCATCCTGTCTTTGTCTCTTATGTTTCTTGACCTTTTCCTCTTTTTGAGTTTTCCTCTCTCCTCTTCCTCCTGTTCTGTTCATCTCATCGTCCTCACTGCTATCCATTTCATGATTCTCCCTCTCTAATATTTTCATTTCTTTACCCCTTTTATTTCCTCTTTTACCTTATACATTGCCTGTATCCCTCTTCATGCCTTTCTGCTCTATTTTCCTTCCTCCCCTCCTGTTCCTCTCTATATTCCCTATGCTTTGTTCCCTTTTTCTCTTTTCATATTTCATTCTCTTTAATCATGTCCTTCTACCCTCCAATGATGCCTGTCCATATATCTTATCTCTCTGCACCTTTCCTCACCCTACCCTCTATCATTTTCCCATCTCTCATCCCTCTCCATTCAACTTGTTCACTGCCATCACATTATCACTCTTATGTTCTTCGGTTTTACCTCTCCAATCCTTTTCTTTCCATGCTTCTTTGTCTGCTCTCCCATTGCTCCCTTCCTGTCTCTCTCTCTCTCTCTCTCTCCAGCTGGCAGCCCTACAGCAGAGCTCACTACTCCGAAAGGTCAAGCGAACCCTGCCCAGTCCTCCTCCGGAGGAGACTACTGCAGCCGCTCATCTGCCCATGATGACACCCGCCCTTCAACAGGTCTACCTGCCCTCCGTGCCCAGCCTCAAGCCCAGCTCCCGGTCTGGTCTGGCAGCTAAAGCCAGCCTCCTCAAAGACCTCACCCACGAGCTGAAGGCCGTGGAACAAGAGTCAACCAAGCTGAGAAAGCAGCAAGCTGAACTGGAGGAAGAAGAGAAGGAGATTGATGCTAAACTGAGATACCTTGAGCTGGGGATCCACCATAGGAAAGAGACACTGGTCAAAGAGAGGGAGAGGAGAGATATTGCTTATCTTAGGTGTATGGGGGACACAAGGGACTATATGTCTGATAGTGAGTTGAATAACCTACGTTTAGCAGCTGCAGCTGCATCACATGAGTCCAATGGACTACTGACAACAAGGCCAAGCACTGCTCCACTCAGCCAGTTCACCAGCGATCTGAACACAGCAGCCCAGTACCCACCCACCTCATCCTTCCTCTCCTGTCAGTACCCCCAGAGCCAACCTGCAGTACCATCTGCACAACCAAGTGTGCCATACCAGCCCTCAACATTCAGCCAGCCTCCCTATCCAACAGTGTCCCAGTCCCAGGCACTGCCACAGCCCACACCCCTCCAGAGCCACATTCCCCCTCTAGGACCTTCATACCAATCTCAAACCTCCTATTCTTCCCACACCTATCCCCAAACTCAGCCCCCTTACCCCCAGACAGACATGGGGATACCAGCTGCACCTCAGCCACAGCCTGGGCAGACAGGTTTTGGGCCTGCACCACCTGGTCAGCCTCCATACCCCACCCACAGCTCACCTTATCCCAGCGCTGTGTCCTACCCCAGCCAGACCACCCCATACCCTGGTCAGCCCCAAGTGGATATCCTGACAGTCCATCCTGGAAGACCCAGGCAGACTTCACTTGCCGATTTGGAGCATAAGATGCCCACCAACTACGAGACGATCAGCAACCCCACGGTCGTGGTCACCACTACGGCCCAGGATGCAACCTATTCTAGTGCAGCCCCCTCTTATGGTCAGTACACTGGAACAACAACCATGGCCAGCTCCTATGGGCCCTATGGTTCAGCACCAGTGTCCAGCAGCTACGGTGGGTACTCTACCATGCCACCTAGCACTTATGGGCAATATACTTCAACATCAGCTAGTTCATATGGCCAGTACACCACAACCACTGCTAATACTTATGGCTACACTACCACCACAGCCAGTTCATATGGACAGTACACTTCTACAGTTTCCAATGCTTATGGGCACTCTGTAGATAGTCCCTCAACCTACAGCACAGCAGAGGGGATGTACGGGGCTCCTGGCTTAGAACAAAACATTCCAAGAAACTACATGATGATTGATGATGTTAGCGAGCTGACGGCAAAAGATGGGCTGGGCACGACGACAGTGGACATGATTCATCATGGCGGAAGTGGGCGTTATCCGGGCGACATCCACAGCCACAGCAGCACCATTGGCAGCACGACGCGTGGGGGAACTAGCAGCTCCTCGTACGGCAGGGCACCCGAGGAGGAAGCAACGATGCAGGAAGAGCTGTACGACCACCACGGCAGGGGTAAGAGCAGCTACAGGCACGGACCTCTAGGGGGCAGCAGCAGCAGCGTGAGCGCTAGCATGGGTGGGGGATCGCCCTATTACTATGACTACGACTACAAACATGGCAGCATCCGCTCCGGGGTACAGAAACCGTCACCATCCTCTAGAAGCCTTCTGGCTCCTGCTGTCATGTCCTCCAAGCGCAGCAAGCACAGAAAGCTGGGAAGTATGGAGCAAAAAATCTCCAAGTTTTCCCCCATTGAGGAGGCGCGGGATGTGGAGGCAGACCTGGCCTCCTATTCCTCAACAACAGGTGGGGCTTACCCCTCTTCCCACATTCGAGGGCGCCAGCTGATCGAGGATTACGGCTTTAAGAAGAATGCTTATGAGGCCGGCAGTGGCACCAGTCATGGTAGTCGGTACTATGGTTCTATGGCGGAGGAGGACGATCGGATTTACTACACCTCCACTGGCCGATCCCGTTCCACCGGCTATGGCATGGACAAGATCTCAGCCAGGGACTACTCTGGGTATCGCAGCCGATCCTATGAGAGGGACGATCGCTCCTACCGATCCAGCTACAGCCAGGGGCGCCAACCAACCCGGCAGTACTCTGAAGAGGAGAGTCCACTCAGTCCCCTGGGGAGGTTCATGAGTTCTGGTCGATCATCAAGCTTAGGTCCCGACCCGTACGACAGTCGCAGCAGTAGATATCATTACTATTATGGTCAATATGGTTCCAGCCACTCGCTGCCAGATGTACAAGACCACATACGGGACCTGCCTCGGACACATGTCTACAAATCGGATGATACGTACATTATAGACGATTATCATTGCGCTGTGTCAGACAGCGAAGGTAATTGTGGGAGCTGAATGCCCACGCAGTCTCACTACCTACTGCCCCCACCGTTTATCTAAACGTCCCCCACCCACCCAGAGGCTAGGCTTAGTAAAGAGAAAGAAAGAAAAAGAGAGACAGAGATAGCCGTTGCATGCTGATGTGTTCTTCTTCCTGAGTCACTTGGATCTCTCTTATCAGTGGACTGCTGTCTGTCTGTCTGCCTGCCTGTCCTATACTTCCGCCTGTTCGTCCAGTCGTCTGTCTGTCCAATACTCGCATGGTTCTTCGACGTGGTCGTTTTCTTCATTCGCTACACTCTGATTCACTTGAAAGGTCTTCTTTGCACGACACAGATGCATTGTGTTTTCTTTACAGGGTTTTGTATTAGTTATGTCTATGATATTTATATTTTCTTTACATGTGTTTTCATTTATGCATTCTTTGTGTACACTGCAAAACAGTCCCTCACAATCAATAGCATGTTTGAGTTTTGTTTGCAAAGTGGGACAGTATTATTGCCTCACTATAATAATTCAAACATACTCATACCACCAAAAATATATAAGAAAAGGAAGATTGTTATGTTGCAGGGCAGTTGTGTGTTTGTGCAGCATATGATGAAATTGAAGCATTTTGAGCACAAACAGCTGCTACAGGGACAGTTTTGCAGTGTTTGTTTTATCCTGTTTATATTGTCTTGTAATGTGTGAAGGCAATGTGAAGTGTATTCTGCATGGATGTCAGTTTTTTATTTTTATTTTCTGCCTTTCTTTCTGTGTCTTCTCTCTCCTATTCTTTTCTTTTGCATGCGGTTGGTCTTCTTCTTCCTGCCTCCTTCCTTCTCACAGTCTGCATGCCGCTGTCTCCAAACGACATGGAGATTGACTGTGATCTGCTCTCGGTTTCCAAAGCCTACCATCTGGGACAGGAAGAAACCGACTGGTTTGAGAAGCCACGCTCCAGTTCTCGACACTACGGCAGCAGCCACTCGTCTGGGAGAAGCCGGCACAATGTCAAACACACCTACCATGATTATGATGAGCCTCCCGAGGAGGACCTGTGGCCCCAGGATGAGTATGGCCACGGCGGGCGACAGTCTACATCTCGTGACCACCGCCACCATGGCAGTTCAAGTCGACACTCCTCCTCATCACGTCATTCAGATGAGCCAAGGGCTTCAAGGTCATCTAAGGGGCACCCCAAAGACCCGTCAATGAGACATGACCCTTCAGGACGATCGTCATCTACAGGAAGGCGTGGCGAGTCAAGGTCCGGGGGGTACCACTCTTCAGACTACTCGCGGGATCCCTCTGGACACCATCACGGCCAACGGTCCTCCAGACAGGGAGACCCACACAGATCCTCACGCAGCAAGTCCCAGCCGCCAGTGGACATGCAGGGCCAACCACAAGGTTCATATATGGCACCTTCACACCTGACATACAGTAGCATTATGTTAGGATTAATTTAAATTTCAGTGTAGACATGACTTAAATTCAATTTTAAGTCAATCTCAAAACATTCTTTAATACAGAAAGATATTATGCAACT